TTAATTTCTGGATTTTACAGATTTTATCACCGACAACAATAATTGAAAATGCATTTAAATATACTTACTGCTTCATCAAAGACAGAATCTTTTGAGACATTTCTGGTGTTGAGTGTCCCCCTGCCTGCTTTATAAGTTCAATCACCTCAATATTCCTTATAACAAGAAATAAAAAAAAAAATGTGTAAATTATAAAATTGCGAAAATTCATAAATCACGTGGCAGTGATTTTCTTGCTCTACTTATAGTAGAAATATTTATATCATGACGAAAATATATTAATTATTGTATTGCATATTAACAATAAAGAACTAGAGCAGTAATTTCATAGAATGAACACCTCCGCTCTGTTTTTGAATACCAGCAAAAAGCAGGCAAGAAAATAATGAAATCGCCCTTCATATCCAGGTACATTATTTTCTAGAGAGCCGTCTGAATATGAGGGGCGATTCCATTATTTTCTTTTATGCTTGAGGGTAATATATATTGAAATTTCGTGACCTTGGGCTTGTCTTATGACATTTTCTTCCGAAAATGGTGTCTTTCTTCAATTATTATGTATTATTCCACAAAATTTTATGATAATTCATTTATTAGTTTTGCTTAATCTCAATTTTCAACTTTAAATAGTAGATCAGCATCACTTGATAATTGGAAGTATATTGAAGCAAACAAATTTTCTGAATTATTTCCAACCATCGCCAATAATTACTTAATCTTACTTCATTTGAATGCCAGAAGTTTATCACAAAATAAAACTGATTTGTTAAATATTTTACAAACTACTCTTGGTCACAATTTTTCTGTTATTGTATTAGTGAAACCTGGCTAAATAATTTACTACCTCCGTCCTTGCAAAGTTATAATTTTTATTCTAACATTCGTAATATTCGTCTAGGGGTGGTATTGGAATTTTTATTCAAAATAAATTTCATGCAACCATTATACATGATCTTAAAGAATAAGAAAGATGTAGTTATTTGAATTCCTGATTATGAAAGAAATAAAAAATTCTTAACACACACGTGGTCGAAGTTATTAATATTTTTAAACAAAAATATTTTTAAAATAATTTTTTAATATTTTAATCTAAGCCCCGCCCAATTGCGATGTTTATTGAAGCCTAAGTATGGCTGTGACGTCATTTCGGTCCAACAAGTTTCAAGGTTTCGTTGCACGCTCTGTAAATCTCTATCATCGCTGTATATAATATGGAGATATATAATTATCGCTGGAAAATTGAAGCTGAATTTGAGCCATAGTTCGAACCACAGGAGAGGAGAAGCGTTATTAACAAAGAAGAAACGGACAAGCAAAACAAAGTTGACAATAAAAATTGGTAAATTTTAATACTCATTATCAGTTTCGTTTTGCGTTTGTGTGTCAGGCATAGCTAGCGGCTGCTAGCGCGTCGGAAATCTTAGCATTGGACATGAGGCCTAGACTAGAGTAGAGTAGTACCGACTTGAAACCAGTAATAAAGTATAATAATACAATAAAGTATGGGATGTCATTTATAAAATTGCTTTACGATTACGTTAATTAATTTTTTTTTAACAGAATTTCTATTTTATTTTTAATATAAATGCTCCTTAATTTTAACCAAGCTAGGCCGAATTATGAATGTAAACATAAAGCGCCAAAAAAATTATGCAATCAACCACTGTCGATTGTGTTGTTAGTTAGGTACTGTAGATAGCCTAGGCCTACCTAGATAATACGCCAGATAGTTCGATAGAAGACTCTGAAAGCTGTATTGTATTTTCTTTTTCTTTCATGGCCGGGGGAACAGGGGGGTGCGGGTGCCGGGTCTCCCCCCCCCCCACACTTTTTTTGCAAAAAAATAATGTCTGGAGATTTTTGTGTGACCGAAAAAAAAATTCTAGACCTACCTTTTCAGGACCCATGAGCTATTTTTTTTTTTAAATTTTTTTTTATGTTACAATCACAAAATTAGAATTTTGAAGAACATAAAAGTCATTAAAATACACTTCAAATGTCGGGAAAGCTCATTTCCGCCATCTACGAATTAAAATTTTCCCGAGGATAATGCCCGGATAAACCTTTCTTTTTGGGATTTATCGATTTATGGAAATAAAGAATACGCATGCAACTACTCATTCATTTATGTATGTATCCGCACATAAAATAAAAAAATGAAAAAAATGTACCTGACCATTTTCAAGAGGGGAAACCTTGAACTTTGAAGAACTTAAAAAGTAATTTAAAAGACATTTCAGAAGTCAGGGAAGGTCATTTCCCGCATTCTAAACATCGAAATTTTCCCGGAGGAACCCGGACCCCCTTTTCTTTGAGGTTCATTGGTTCATTGAATCATTTTCAAGAGGGGGAAAACCTTGATTTTTGAAGAAATTAGAAGTAATTAAAAGACACCTCAGGAGTCGGGAAAGCTCATTTTCCGCTTCTAGATATCAACATTTTCCCGGGGGAGAACCCCGACCCCCTTTCTTTTTGGATTTTGGGAAAAAAGTAATTGACCGTTTTCAATAGAGGAAACCTTGAATTTTGAAGAACTTAAATTAAAATTGCTATAAGATACTCCAGAAGTGGGGAAAGCTCATTTCCCACCATTTAGAAATTAACATTTTCCCGGGAAGAACATGAACCTCCCTTTCATTTAATTTATTTATTTAGACACGATAGTATTTCAACACAAAGCTTGTTTTACAAATGGTCGTGTATACCCAAAAGACAAATATAATATAATGCATAATAGAATAATATATAATAATAATAATAATAATAATAATAATAATAATAATAATAATAATAGTAATAATAATAATAATAATAATAATAATAATAATAATAATAATAATAATAATAATAATAGTAATAATAATAATAATTAAATAAATGAATAACATTACAATTTTGATTTAAAAATCGAAAGAGAAGGCGAAGATCTAATCTCAAATGGGAGATAATTCCATTGATAAGAGCCCCTATACACTTGCTACTTTCTTCAAATTACTGTTAGGTTTAGGAATATGGAGTTTAAGGCAATCAAAATGTCGCAAACTGTAAACACTTTGTTTTTCAAATTTAAAAAAAATTGAATATATAAGGGTATAAGTAGTAGTTTGACAGATTTATACATAAAAAGTGACACTTTCCTGGATCTACCGAGATACAGACTTTGCCAGCTCAGACTGTCTAACACTGTTGCAGCTGGTTCATCCCATTTGCAACCGAAGATAACACGTCCCGCCCTATTTTGAAATCTTTGAAGTTTTGCAGCCAAAGTATCATCACAGTTGCCCCAAACTTCGCAACAATACTCAAAATGAGGCAGGATGATAGAATTATATAAGGTAATTAAACAATCATTAGGGACAAAACCAAAAACTTTTTTAAGGCACCAATACACTTAGAAACTTTAGAGCAAACTAAATCAATTTGTTTTTCCCATGTTAAGTGTCTGTCAATTATATCCCTAAATATATGTGCTCACTTCCAATTTTAATGTTAAGTACCTAATTAACAAATCTTAATTTCTGGTGAGACCCAATTAGCATTACTTAATATTTCTTCGTATTTAAGGTGATTTTATTTTGCTTAAGCCAGTTATTTACATTAGCAAGATCAATATTTAACATTTCACTAATTTCTTTACTTGTTTCCCACTACAAGTCAACACACAAATAATAAAAAAAAAATCGTAAACAAAAATCGTAAAAAGAAAAGACCGAATATGGACCCTTCAGAGACACCGTAATTTACTTTCAAAATCTCAGATCTGGCCTCCTCAACACCCGTAAACTGTTTTCTATTTGAAAGATAAGATTTGAACCACTGTAATGACATATTATTCAACCAAATTTTACCTAATTTATACAAAAGTATTTTGTGGTCGACCGAGTCGAACGCTTTTTTTAGATCAATTGTGACTAACCCAATCACTTTTCCTTTATCAATAAAATCTACAAACTGTTCGGTTACATAAATAAGAGAAGTACATGTTGAATGCATTTAATTGGTCGAAAACCAGATTGAACATTACTTCAGCTAAACACTTATATAACTGATTTTCACTTTGGGTTCATAGATTCATTATAATAATTTTCAAGAGGGTAAACCTTGAATTTTGAAGAACTTAAATGTAGTTAAAAGACACCTCAGAAGTCGGAAAAACTTATTTCCCGCCTTCTAAGAATCAAAATATTCACAGGGGAGAACCCCCGAACCTTCCTTCTTTTTGGGATTTATGGATTTTTGGAAAAAAAATCGTATGCAACTACTCATCTTTTTAATGAACGTATACACTCATATGGCCTATCTACTGTAATAACAGGGATAAATTTACCTGACTGTTTTCAAGAGGAGAAAACCTTGAATTTTGAAGAACTTAAAAGTAATTAAGACACCTCAGAAGTCTGAAAAGCTCATTTCCCACCATCTAGGATTCAAAATTCTTCCGGGGGAGAACCCCAAGACCGCCGCTCCTTTTCTTTGGAGCTTATCGATTCATTGAAAAAAGAATATGTATGCAACAACTAATTTTTTTTTTATGTATGTATACACACATAACAGGCCTATTTACTGTAATAAGAATGAGAAAGTTTACCTGACCGTTTTCAAGAGGAGGAAACCATGAATTTTGAAGAACAAAGTCATTAGAAACCTAGCTCAAAAGCCGAGAAAGGTCATTTCCCGCCATCAAGAAATCAAAATTTTCCCGGGGGAGGACCGCCGGATCCCCTTCCCTTTTTGAGAAAAATGTTGACCCTCATCCCCTAGGTTTTTCCAGATCTGCAGGATTCATATTCCGATTCATCTTATAAGTGCCCCCCCCCCCCCACTTTGAAAAACGTTCCGCCGGCCCTGTCTTTGCTAAAATGTGCATGTTTTGTTTTTAAAATAGGCCTGGTTCCCCTACGTGTTATATAATACTCCGTGTACAAAGTGGGGAGGCCGTCGCTGAAGGAAACGTTGATCGCAGCGGCGGGTCGATGCTACTTACTGTACTCTGAATTTGGCCTGGCTAGGAATTTAAAATACATCGTCGATCTCACCTAGACAAATGATGATTTTGTGTTATGTTTTGTTTGATGTAAAGCTGTACTCTAAATAGTGTATACTATTTAACTGTACTCTAAATATCCAATTTAAATTTTAATATTTTAGGTGCAATTGTGGGCAATGCAAGAAGATGAAGACTGCAAATGGATGTCTGTTGCAGGTGAACTACATCTCATTCTAGATGTCATGCTACAGTAGTTGTTTAAATGATATTGATTGGCAATACAGATGGCAGGAAGACAAACAACCAAAAAATACTTGTGCCACGAAAAAAAAATATCTGAAAACAAGTAAATTAGGCTCTAAAACCAATACACTGTATATGTTGATATGCACTATATGTACAAGTTAGTAAAAACAAACAGTATAAAAAAGTCATTTTTAAACGAGCCTTTGAGTTTTATTACAGAAAAAGATTCCATAGTACAGCCTCTTTTTTAGTCGATATTAGTCTCATAAAATGTACTTATTTACGAATACTGTACTGTACATAAAAAAAACTACAGTATTTTATATTTTAACTACGCATCCTGGGGTACAGGTCCCAAGGTTCGCAACCCCACCTCTCTGCCACAAACGGCTAATTCGTGTTTCACTTTTTCACAGCGGGTGTAAAACTGTGAGTTCATTATTTGTATGTCCGCGATACCATTTTCCGGATTTTGTTGCTTACATAACAGCTTTCAGCGTTTCATCTTCTTCTGTTGCTAATTCTATTTCCTCTATGGTGATTGCTTTAGGGGTGGATGTGGCTGTTATATAGTTAATGTATTCTTCGGCTATTTTCTCCTCTCGGCTCGTTCTCACTTGGGCCTTGTACGGGTGTCTAGATATGTAATCAGCTGGGTTATCTAGTCCAGAACGATAAATGACCTTAGCATCATCAGGCTGAAGTTTCATTGCCCATCTTTCAAGTCTTGGAGGAGGAGTAGAGTTTGGATTCCCATAGATAGATACTAATGGCTTATGATCGGTGATGATGGTGATTGGTTTCCCATAGATATATATGTGAAAATGTTCACAAGCCCAAATAACTGCAAGACTTTCTCGCTCTGTTTGTGCTACAACATGGTGAGTTTGAGGATCAGCAGGGTCTACTTGCATTAGTAGGGCTCCAAGTTCAACTGGGCTGACATCAACATACAGTTGATTATCATAGTGTGAATCAAACATTTTTAGAACAGGTACATGTACCAGTGCATCTTGCAGAGCGACTAGGGTTTGATCATGCCTGTCAGTCCATTTCCACGGAACATCCTTTCGCGTTAGTTCGCGAAGTGGTTGAGTTAGAGTAGCATATCTTGGGATAAAGCGTAAACCGCAGCAGCTTGTCATTCCCAATAGACTACGTACTTCTGATGCACTTTTGGGTTTGTCCATCTGAACAACAGCTTGGATTTTTTTCGGATCAGGAGCAAGTCCTTCTTTGGAGAAGACGTGACCAAAGAATTCAAGAGTGTGTTTGTTGTATGCACATTTTCCAGAGTTCAATGTTAATCCCTTTTCACGAAGGCGTTGGAAGACAGCTCGAAGACTGTTGTTGTGATTATCTTGATTCTTTCCGTAAATCAATATGTCATCGTTTATATTGATCACGCCTTGAATGCCGGCCAGAGTTTCTCGTATGTCGTGCTGGAAAATTTCCGCTGCACTATTAATGCCAAAGTTGAGGCGTTTATATCGACGAAGTCCGATATGTGTTGAAAAACATGTGATGTATCGAGATTCCGGTGCTAGTTTTATCTGGTTATATCCTTGGTTCAGGTCCAACTTACTGAAAACTGTAGCTCCGTTTAGCTCATGTATCATTTCACTAATGGTTGGAGTTATGTGTCGTTCTCTTTTAATAGCAGTGTTTGGTTGCCGCATATCGACACACACTCTAACTTTTCCTGGTGTTTTCTTGGGGACTACAACAACTGGCGATACCCACGGTGTTGGTCCATCTATTTTCTCAATGATGCCAAGTTCTTCATCACGTGCCAATTGTTCCTCAAGATCTTTCCGGACATGAAATGGAACTCTGCGAGTATCTTGAGCTACTGGGATCACTGTCTCATCAATATGAAGATGTACCTCATAGTCCTTCAGTTACCACAAATATGTCATTGAATTCGTTTATTAACTTTTCTGTAAAGTTCTCTACTGTGTGCACACTACAGGTAGGTTGGATTAAATTCAGTTGTTGAGAAGCTTTCCAACTAAGGAGCGATCCACCAGAACCTTTGACAACATAAATGGTTGTATGGCATTGCTGTGAGTGACTTGTAACAGTTGTCGTGAACTTTCCAAGGATGTGCAAAGGTTGAACTGCACTGTATGGAACAATTTTGAAATTGGATGGGATTAGAGTGGGTTTGTGTTTTATGCGTTGATAGTCCTTTTCATCAATAATGTTAACACTAGAGCCAGAATCTGCCATCATGACGATGCTGTCACTCTTAATTTGGACTGTGAAGTGCGGTAGTTGTGAGGTGTGCTGAACTGAATATAGATATACTTCTTCATCCTCACTGGATTCGCATTTTGCACATTTAATCGAGCAGGTGCTTTATTGAATGCTTTTGTGGGTTTACTTCTACAGTACTTCGCAAAGTGGTTTAACTTGCTACATGCTCCACAGTTTTTTCCTCTTGCTGGACAGGTATTGTTTCCTGTGTGAGGCCAATTTCCACCACAGTTTCTGCATGTGGAATTACTCTGATTATTAGGAGGGCTTCGCTGTACAGTTCGCTTTCCACTGTAGGCAGCTTTCCTTGGCTTTACTACTGAATGTCTGAGTTTTTGAAAAGTTTCCTTGCCTTTATTTTCGATTGCTGCACTAGCTTGAGCCTCTGATGTTTCAAGTGCCCTAGCTTCCTTGAGTACCTCTTCTAAGGTCCAAGCTGGGTGCTTGAGTACTTCACGTCTAAGCTTTGTGTTGACTTTTTTTGTAGTATCTGTGCACGTATTTCAGCCTGTGTATCTGTAAACTCGCGATGTTTACTCATGCATTTTAGACGTGTTACAAATTGGTCTACCGTCTCATCATGCAACTGGGTGAACATTCTGAAGAGAAAAACAGCCATTGCTGTATCTTTCATTGGCCTAAAATGGTCTGATAATTTGTCCTTAGCTTGTTTATACTTGTCAGTGGATTCCGCCATATATGTCATACACTTTGGGTCCTACAAGTTACAGGAGTTGGGCCTTTTTCTTTTCGTCCTTGTTTTTATCCTTAACGATCGCTAATACTCACAATACTCGTACAATCTGTTCTGAGGATGTTTTTAGCAGTACTGTAGCACTCGTCGCCAATGTTATGTTCTTTGGTAATTATTACTATGTTGTGTAAACAGAGCAACAAGAACATGCTTGAGTACATTGAACGATTTGTTACTGAATTCGCTTCCCTGCTCCAGAGGGCGCTATGTATGTTAACATGCAATACTGTGTGGTTTGAACATCACAGTGCCTGTGATTTCTTGTAGCGAATATGTTGGGCCCATTGTTAAATGTATGTGATATGAATTTGTGAAGATTTTGACACCGTTTGAGTTGTGATCTTTCGTAATAAATAAATGTTTGTTGAATTGAATTGATACTCCCTGGGGCGTATTTTTGGCGTGCAATTTAATGCTAATACTTGCAATCCAACATCATCCCGGTACCCATAAAATCGCTACGCTATCATCAAATTCTTTTAGTGACGATGATTGGTCAGTCATCGAGACGCCTTTCTGATTGCGTCAACAGCTAAGTAATCCATCAACGTTTGCAGTGACAAAAGTGTAGCGACAGCGTAACAATTTTATGGAAACTTGACTTTACAAAAACTGTGGGTTAGGGCTAAACAGTTTGATTGTGCACAATTTAAAGTGAAAACAACAAACTGAAACATACAATGCCGTTCTTTGAGGTATCGCCGTTAGACAAACAATACACATTTGTATTCAATGTGTCCTTACCTGTACCGTAAGCTTTCCACAAATGGTGTATTTCCGAAACGATCTTTAGCATAAATGGAGCAGCCACTCTCCACAAGATACTTCACAATATCAACGTGGCCTTCGCACACGGCCATATGTAAAGGTGTCCTCTTATCATAATCACATCGGCTTAAATTCCCTCCCTATAAAAGATAAAATTCACTAAGTTGAGTGTTGGGGATTTTTTTTTTATGGAGATGTATATTTGTATGTATAATGAAACATATAGTCTCAGCAAACACAGTATGTTGTTATAGCATTTTAGAACATGAACACAGATAGGTTATGTCAGACAATGACGTAAAAGCAACGTTAGAACAACGTTAGAAACCTTATTTATTTGGAATAGTTATAAATACATATTTCTACGAAAACATTCTGTTAACATTCTGTTTAACGTTATTATAACGTCAAATTGTTCACTGACGTGCCATCACTTTACTATATTATTACTATAAAGTTCATTCACTCACAACTCGGCATATATCTACAATGATAACTTTGAAGTGGAGTTGAATAGTTCGGCGGGTAAAGTGCTTGCTCTCCAATCCCAGTGCCCTGGATTATTAAAATCCTACCACAGGTAACAAGATTTTTCTCATGGCCAAAGCCTCACAATGAGTGACTGCAATAGTAGTCACATAAAGTAAGGGTATCACATTTGGATATAATAGAGTGAATTTGACCATCCCACCCTAAATCATCTAGGATAATGACTTGGCTAACACTGGCAATATCAGCACCATTTATCTGGAGAGCAGGAGGTTATGATTTTACACGTTTACAACTTATTAGCATTTCCTAAGATTTCTTTTCATTATTCTTCATTCTATTGTTGGTTGACCAGCTACAGATTTCTTCACAAACCAACTTAAAAGTGCTAGGGCATTTGCTAGAAATCTGTTCCGACACAGTAGTGTCATCCATGTATTTAACAATGGGAAGTTCAATGGGACTTTCAAGTCATTGATGAAGATAATGAAAAGAATTGACCCTAGCCAAGATCCCTCAGGCACACTTCCCTTGGGACTTAGTCACTGATTGCCTATTCGTACTCTATGCATTCTATGGCTTAACACGGCCTGAATCTATTTAACCATGGTTGTACTGACATTAAATTTGTGGAGTTTTACAATTAGGATCAAGTGGTCAACAAGGTAAAATGCTTTTTTGTAGTCTAAATGTAAGACCCGGGTTTCATTACTGTTGTCTACAACTTTAAACCATTATTTAAACAAGGGCATCGATGGTCGAAACCCCTTTCATACAGCCAAATTGATTTAAATCGATCTTATCGTGTTTAAAAGCATTTCACTAATAATACTTTCAATTACTTTCCCACATACAGAGGTTAATGATGGTCTGAGGTCAGATTCAATGAATATGGAAGATTACTTTTGGGGATTGGGACTATGGTTGTAATTTCCATTCGTTGGGGATAAATGATTCAGGTAAACTGGAATTTGCACTTTCAGATAAAGGCCTAGACAAAACGTTGGTAAAGTCCTTTAAACCCATGTGCGTATGCTATCAGGACCTGGGGATTTGTTTACATTGAGAGCTTGTAATTTCACCTATATCTAGTCATGGGTTATCATAAATTTATCTAAGATACATGAATGGTAGGGGATGCCAACAGGGATATGGACAAGTTCGAAGTCATCAGTGACTAAATTAAAAACAAATCAACCACTTTTTCTGCTAGTTCTTGTTGGTTACCACATAGACTGTTTGCCAATTAGTTTAGAGGGTTATGTGACCTTGCTTTGTTTTGTTCCACCATGGCTTCATATCGAGCTGTGCGACTTCCTTTTCATAGTATCTGCGTCTCAGCTTCTTTGAAGCTCTGTTCACTTTGTTTCTAAGTTTTCTGAATGGAAACTCTTAATTCTATCAGGTTTCCATTCTTGAGTTCAGTTTGACGTCTGTAGATCAATAATTTGTAGTAATTTGTAACCCATGGCTTGTCAACATTAGTGCGAGTTACTTGAATTAGCAGAAAGTGTTTTCAACAAGATTTCTAACACGTGAAGCATACAGTAGAATTAATACTGCTCGACGGAAGTTGCTAGCGCGTATAACTCATGCCAACGTACGTACATTCAGAAGATCTTGCTCAAACAGTTCTTTAGAAAAATCATTAACTTTCCTCTTAAACTGGTACTACTTAGTTGCTGGAACTCTTTTACACACTTGGTTCGGTCTGCAGAGAACAAATAGGTGAACAGACAGACCCAGTCAGGGTTCTGTGTATGGCATTTCATAAAAATTGTCAATATATGTATACATTAAATCGACAGTGGCATTTTCCCGCGTGCAAGCCTTAACAATCTGCTTTAGAGGAAATCGCATCAATTGAGCATACCTCATTCTATTGAAATCTCCAAGTACGAAAATTCCAGTATCTGGATGCTTAGTGCAAATAGAGTTATTAGCAATGTGGTTACACATAATGAAATCATTGGTACTAAAAGGTGAGGCGTGGAACACCTCAGCAATAGTGATGTTACTAATAGCTCTAGGTAAGCATTTGGGTCGAATATTGACAAAAGTGCTTTCAATGTTTTCGGTTTTAAGTTTATTCCATAGCTTAAAAGGAATAAGTTCATTGATATATATTATAATTCCACCGCAACCTCAATCCAATTAATGAATAGCCATCAATTTCATATAAGCAGTCGTTATATGAAGGGTTTGAGGTGTGATTCTGTCGTGACAATTATATCCGGGCAGGTATGTCTAACTCTTACCCATAGTTCCTGCATTTTATTCGTCAGAGAGCAAGAATGGTTGTATCGTATACACGATAATTTTTTATCGAATCTTGAAAGTTTGAAAACTTCTATATAAGCATAGTTTGATCTATTTCTATTGTTTGAGCTACAGTACATGTTTGTTTAGCAAAGCCATGGTTGTATGTCCCTTAAAGTCTAAACTACAGTATATATACAGAAGCTGTATCCGATGAAGTTGGTTCCACGTATATCTCACAAAAATATATAAATATAAAAAAATACGAATATTAAGGGACACATGCGTGTCCGAAATATTTGTCTTAATAATAAACGTTATGTCTTTATTATGTCAACGTATGCAATCATTTCATTTTTCATTTTATATATATATATATATATATATATATATATATACTGTATATATATATATACTTTTTAAATTATTATTACTTTTTAAATTATTAGAAGAAAATCGCTACACTCCTACCTATCAGCTAAAAGGAGTTGCCCTTTTCTCAGGAACTGGATGAATTCTAATCGAGGATTGGATTCGTGATATGAGGTACACACTGGAGGCATCCGATATGCCTGAACGCCTTAGGTTTAATTCAGGAAAATAGCTCTAAATATTCCAGAAAACCTAGCAAAAGTTTTGCTGAGCTCCAGGAGCAATTTGGTACCTACGTAGCAGGAGACTCACTGACTGCTTTTAATGCCCAGGTTCAACATTAACATGAAACGGCATCTATCTTTGCAGTGGAACTAAATGCTACATTGAGACAGGCAGAAGAGAGAACAACATACGTCCCAAAGAGAGATGTTGTCCTGACGCAACAATTATTACGGGGACTGAGAATTCTGCACCTTAAAGACAGGATTTCGGCAATACGACTAACACTTCCCAATTTCTGATCCGTTGTGACAGAAATCCGGTCGTACGAGAGAGAAAACTCGCAAGCCTCATCTATGGTTATCAGACCAACTCCGCCTAAACCACAACAAAGCAATAAAATAAAAGACATTCGCACAGCAGTGGCTGACCTACGAGAACAGTTACAACAGTTAACAACAGCAATCAAACCAAAACCAAGTAGCCCTAGGTTTAATGATGAGATTGTATGTTTTAGATTTTAAACAACGTGGACACAAAGAGTACCAGTGCACACAGTCAAAAAACGGACAAGCGCCGTGTGGCGAAGCGAGAAACAACATCCACCATCAGTGTTGGAACGGACGGTATTTTTTTATTTCTCAGGTCTCAGGTCAGTACAGTATCATTTATTGAAATAGAGCCACTATGTCTCTGTGATTCCATTGACACCACTAAACAAAATTTCGAAATACTGGCTGCTAATGGTGAGTTGATTCTAACTATTTGGAACATTTATCTTGATGTTAAAATAAGTGGAAAAACAATCAATGCTCTTTTCTTTGTGGTGCCACAGGCTAAATATCCCATGCACATCATCTTCAATAATAATTCACGCAGGGCAGGAAGTTGACGTACGATGAAAGGCCAAGTGGTTTAGGAAACCTTTGTCTTTGAGTTATGGCCGAAGCAAAACAAAACCCAATAAACAGTTTACTAGTTGGACGTTCTATTTGTAAAGTTTCCTACAACAATATTTTAAAGACGTTTGAATGTGTCAGAGACTGATATAGTATTGCGCAAAAACGCATCAATTGCTGATCTTATGTGCTCTTCTACAATCGATTCAGTTCATTCGTTTGACATATCAGTGAACAGTACCCCGGATAAGACTTATAATCGAACATTTCACCCTGAATTGAACAATGATAATGGGCGAAAAAGATTTAACAATTGAATTGATGAATTCCCAGATGTCTTCTCTACTGACCCATCAGACATAGGGAAAGTTGAGAGCGTTAAGCATAAAATACCTTTGATTGACAGCACACTTTTTCGAATGGCTCAACGTAGAATACAACCACATGACTTTCAGGAAGTGCGGGAGGAAATCAACCGTCTTCAAACTGCTGGAATCATACGAAAAAGTTTCGTAATTCGTATTTCGTATTTCGTAAGGTCCTTATGCCTCACCATTAGTAGTTGTGCGAAAGAATTGTGGAGCAATATGACTATGCGTGGATTACAGAAAAATAAACAATAAAACCGTTCGGGACTCATTCCCCTTACCCAGAGTTAATGAGGCATTAGACGCACTAGGTAAAGCTAAATATTTATCTGCCATTGATTTGACCAGTGTGTATCATCGTATTCAAGTTATTCAAGACGAGGACCAACCTAAGACCGCATTTACTTCACCTATAGGACTGTTCGAATTTGCTGTATGCCCTTTCGTTTTAAAAAAAAATGCTCCCAGTACTTTACAACGACTAATGCTTAACACATTTGGCGATCATAATTTTATGTCACTTTTAATATA